TTGGTCTTCCGGGTCCCCCTATTGACCCGGAAGACCCGCTTCACACCACAACCCACCGGTCAGACTCCATGCAGACAGATCCAAGACGAACACCAAGCGGAAGGCGCCAGTAGGCTATCTCAGATAGCCCACCGACACTCTGCGTCTGCTCCTCATCCGTCACTCTGGGGGATATTCCAGCCGAGTGGAGCTACAAGTAAATCGCCGGCACACCTCGCGCCAGCGGTCATAGATCCTTCACCCCTTTCGTCCTTGTTGACAGGACGACTCCGACCAACCAACTGACTCGCAACATGCCTTGCCTGCCTCCAATATTGTGCCAAACTCGGAAAATCAGCCCTACCAGAAATTAAGCAAGTAGAAGGCAGCTTCCTTGCCGCTGTCAGTGACTTCACCCTGTTGTCACCTTGTACAACACTACCATGTCATCTGAATATTCTTCAACTATTCACCTCACACAAGAGGAACTACAACAGGATGTCCAAATATCAGTTTCTGACGCTCAAGAATGGACAGCTGAGATTCCCTTTATAGGTCTCTGTGACTATGATGACAATGAATCAGTTGACCTCTTCTTGTTTATTACAAATGGGCCCAAATTTACACAAGCACAATTCAATCCAGATCACTGGCCACCTACAAATGCAGGTAGAAAGAAGTTGCTTTTCACTTGCAGCAACTTGCTCTTGAGTATGGTACCGATTTCAATGTAGATAGCTACAATGGCACACTAAGATGTGCTCGCAACCGCAAGTATGCCAATAAAGAAAAAAATAAGGATGAATATGATGCGCAAGGTGTTTGTTTTGGCCCTTGCCATAAGTCGCACCATCATGATCGCAAAAGAAATCGTGTAAATGGACAAACCAAACCCCGAGCTACCCAAACAGCCAAGGACACTACTGGAAACTGTCTATGCAACTGTCGCCTATCTTTGAAATTCTCTAGGAATGAAGAGTTCATCTACCTTGCATGTAAGGGAGAGAAGATCCACAAATACCACCCCAAAGCCCCCGGTCCATTGCCTTTGAAGGCAAACAATCTAACTGACGAGCAAAAACAGCAGCTCCTGGCTCAGCAGAGGGCAGCAGTTGCCAACCCCCAATCTCGCAAAATCTTACTTGAGCTTAAGCAGGGGTACATTTCAAAATCTGCCTATCGAACTGTAATGATAACTGCACCGGACTACATAGCCGCAAAAGCTGTTGCTGGTGCAAACTCCTCTGCCGCTGAGTTTATAGGCTGGTTGAGAGCTCAAGCCGCAAATCCTGAAACAAATCTGTCGTATATGGTACTCTCCTATGCCCTGACGTCTAAGAATTGTTGTGTTGTTAGAAGGTATATCCAAAATCCAAAGGGTTGGAGGTCCAACAGCAATCCTCCCTCTAATCCCGAGACTGTCATGAACAACCTGACATACAGGGATGAACTTCTACTACCGATTGAAATCCAGGAACCCTTGGCAAGCTCTCGCAAATCAACCCCTACTCCTCCCATTGGTAAGGGTGGACTAGTAGCAAAAAACAACCTTTGCCAAGCTGCTATAGATCGTGTTGCACTACCAATGTGGCAGGACTATTGTGCATCTGTTGGTGTTGAAGACCATTTGCAAAATACCAAAGCCACCCGAGAGAAAAAAAGAAGCAATTTTTTGTCGTGCAGCAAATGAAGTTGACAACCAAACCATTAGGAACAGTTTGGCCTACACCTCTGGCGATGGCAAAGAATCTTGCGATGAGGATACAGGTAGTAGCCATATGGATTGTAATGCAGCTCAGGGAAAGGTCGGAATTGCTGATAAACTATGTGCCAAGCCTGCCCCCATTGTTCCCAAAGGCTTATACTCTATTGCAAATGTATCCATTGCAAACCAGACCAATGACAATTTTGCACAATCTGTGGAAGTTGAATCAACTCTCAAGGGGGTCGCACCAATGGTTGAGCTTGTTGAGCAAGCAGAAACGCATCTCCTTGCATCTAGTGACACAATTATGTCACCCACTAAAGTTATGCTTGGAGGTGCATGGATGACAGAAGCAGAGAAACGTCACTTTTTCCGCTTCCCTGAGGTTTTGTTCATTGACGCTACACACAAGTCAAACAACAAAGGCCGGCCTCTTCTCCTTGTCTGTGGTAGAGATAGTGGTGGTAAGGCGTTTGTCATCCTTCAGATGTTCATGCCCAACAAGACCAAGGCCTTCTATTGGTGGGTATTCCTTGAGGTCTCACCGGCCATGCTTGGTGTAGCACACCTGAAACGAGTCAATCTCATATTGACTGATGGAAATGCCAACAAGTACAATGCTCTTGATCAAGGAATCTTTCATTATTTTAAGAATGCCATTCGTTGGAGATGTGGTCATCATCTAATAGAAAAAACCCATCAAATCACACGGTCCTTCTGATGGAGAATTGGAAAACCAATGTAATGGGCGGGCGATCATACTGGAGATGAAGCGATGGGTACGGTCATGGGTTGATGGGAGTTCATGTGGCACAAAAGAACAATTTGAGTTTTCAAAGCAACTGTGTTGCAGGAACTACAGGAAAACAAGGCAGTACTTTGCAATCTTGGAGAAGAAGCTGCACAAAAATTGAACTACTGGATCAACAATCATATCCTTACTCTTCATGACGAGCAGTTTGCATTCTATGTGAAGCAAAACAGACACTGTTTACATGAGTACTGCACCAACGCAACTGAAGGAATGAACTATGCCGTGAAGCATAGTTCCATGGCCGCAAAGCCACATCATAACTTGAAAGCAGCCGCTTCAAATATGCATAGTCACAAGGAAATGAAATATAGGGACCGGGAGTAGGAGCAGTACCGACTTGCTATGTCTACCCCCTTGTACATTAGTGACAAGTCCGGTACTCACAACGTTGATTGCTTGAATGAGCTAGTGCCTATCGCATGATTGTGCAGTTGTCGCGCAAAACTTTTGTGGCTATCCGAGCTTTGTCACCAAAGTTGACAACACCCCAAGGTTGTCCTTCCGAGTTCATTGGCCGTCTACAATTCCGTCAGGCACATAGAGTTGAAGTTCAAGTACATTCTTACGACTGCTCCAAGTTGGTTTTGGTTTGTTCCTGTGGATTTGGTCACCAGTATGGCATCCCCTGCCGCCATTTATTGGCAATTGAAAAAAATTATGACATCAATGATGTGGCTTGTTGATGGCAATGCGACTATGGCTTTAATGCACACAAGAAGGGTTCCAAAGATCTAACAACCAAGTTCATGCGACTTCAAAGTATGGAACATTTTGGTATTGTTGTGAAAACACCTTTGCTTACAGGCATGATAGACAGCAGTGAAGGAAACAGCACTTATCCACGTGTGATTACACATGAAAATTTGGAGCTTACCCTAGACGGTGTGATGGCAATCTACAACTGTCCCATTCCTGAGTGCTGGAACTACAGGCGGCATCAGTATCCCAATCAGGCAAGGATGATGAACAATTTTGTCCAAGCATTGTCTCTGTCGCAGGAGCTGGGGAAAATGGATTCAGAGAGCGATTTTGATGCCACCTTCAAGAGCCAGGACATGGAATCCCCAAATAATGTATATGAAAATGATGGTAGTATGCAGAACGCTAGTGGCAAGCCAATCTTTGCCTTTGACGTGGAAGGCGTACTAAGGAGTCAGCCCAAACATCGCTCTTCACAACTGCAAAATGCCATTCTGCAAAAAGCAAAAGATATTATGCGTCTTGCTATAAACCAGAGACACATTGATGCTACCATAGGCGTGATGACTGAGTTCGAAAGATGGCTGGTACACGACACTGCGTCCTCAGTGACATTGAGCCAAAAGCGTGCTCATACCACAGACAAGGAGAAGAGGCCGGCCTTTGTTGTTTGACTTGTGTGTAGCGTCAATGAACAAAACCTCAGGGAAGCGGAAAAAGTGACGTTTCTCTGCTTCTGTCATCCATGCACCTCCAAGCATAACTTTAGTGGGTGACATAATTGTGTCACTAGATGCAAGGAGATGCGTTTCTGCTTGCTCAACAAGCTCAACCATTGGTGCGACCCCCTTGAGAGTTGATTCAACTTCCACAGATTGTGCAAAATTGTCATTGGTCTGGTTTGCAATGGATACATTTGCAATAGAGTATAAGCCTTTGGGAACAATGGGGGCAGGCTTGGCACATAGTTTATCAGCAATTCCGACCTTTCCCTGAGCTGCATTACAATCCATATGGCTACTACCTGTATCCTCATCGCAAGATTCTTTGCCATCGCCAGAGGTGTAGGCCAAACTGTTCCTAATGGTTTGGTTGTCAACTTCATTTGCTGCACGACAAAAAATTGCTTCTTTTTTTCTCTCGGGTGGCTTTGGTATTTTGCAAATGGTCTTCAACACCAACAGATGCACAATAGTCCTGCCACATTGGTAGTGCAACACGATCTATAGCAGCTTGGCAAAGGTTGTTTTTTGCTACTAGTCCACCCTTACCAATGGGAGGAGTAGGGGTTGATTTGCGAGAGCTTGCCAAGGGTTCCTGGATTTCAATCGGTAGTAGAAGTTCATCCCTGTATGTCAGGTTGTTCATGACAGTCTCGGGATTAGAGGGAGGATTGCTGTTGGACCTCCAACCCTTTGGATTTTGGATATACCTTCTAACAACACAACAATTCTTAGACGTCAGGGCATAGGAGAGTACCATATACGACAGATTTGTTTCAGGATTTGCGGCTTGAGCTCTCAACCAGCCTATAAACTCAGCGGCAGAGGAGTTTGCACCAGCAACAGCTTTTGCGGCTATGTAGTCCGGTGCAGTTATCATTACAGTTCGATAGGCAGATTTTGAAATGTACCCCTGCTTAAGCTCAAGTAAGATTTTGCGAGATTGGGGGTTGGCAACTGCTGCCCTCTGCTGAGCCAGGAGCTGCTGTTTTTGCTCGTCAGTTAGATTGTTTGCCTTCAAAGGCAATGGACCGGGGGCTTTGGGGTGGTATTTGTGGATCTTCTCTCCCTTACATGCAAGGTAGATGAACTCTTCATTCCTAGAGAATTTCAAAGATAGGCGACAGTTGCATAGACAGTTTCCAGTAGTGTCCTTGGCTGTTTGGGTAGCTCGGGGTTTGGTTTGTCCATTTACACGATTTCTTTTGCGATCATGATGGTGCGACTTATGGCAAGGGCCAAAACAAACACCTTGCGCATCATATTCATCCTTATTTTTTTCTTTATTGGCATACTTGCGGTTGCGAGCACATCTTAGTGTGCCATTGTAGCTATCTACATTGAAATCGGTACCATACTCAAGAGCAAGTTGCTGCAAGTGAAAAGCAACTTCTTTCTACCTGCATTTGTAGGTGGCCAGTGATCTGGATTGAATTGTGCTTGTGTAAATTTGGGCCCATTTGTAATAAACAAGAAGAGGTCAACTGATTCATTGTCATCATAGTCACAGAGACCTATAAAGGGAATCTCAGCTGTCCATTCTTGAGCGTCAGAAACTGATATTTGGACATCCTGTTGTAGTTCCTCTTGTGTGAGGTGAATAGTTGAAGAATATTCAGATGACATGGTAGTGTTGTACAAGGTGACAACAGGGTGAAGTCACTGACAGCGGCAAGGAAGCTGCCTTCTACTTGCTTAATTTCTGGTAGGGCTGATTTTCCGAGTTTGGCACAATATTGGAGGCAGGCAAGGCATGTTGCGAGTCAGTTGGTTGGTCGGAGTCGTCCTGTCAACAAGGACGAAAGGGGTGAAGGATCTATGACCGCTGGCGCGAGGTGTGCCGGCGATTTACTTGTAGCTCCACTCGGCTGGAATATCCCCCAGAGTGACGGATGAGGAGCAGACGCAGAGTGTCGGTGGGTAACAATCAAAAAACTATTTAATTCCTCTTGTTGGCACTTGCAACATAATAATCATTTCTCCCCTAGTTGATAGATCTTTCCACAACTCAGCTTTTCCTACAACTCTACAGGACCATGATTCTCTCCATTATTTCAACTATGTACTCCCTCTACTTTCATCGGGAGCCGTTGCTCCTCCAAAATCATCTTCATCAATTGAAATGTTGGCATATCCTTCCCTTATCTCTTCAAACAGCAATTGGGATAGGCCATCATCTTCATTCTTTTTTCGGAGCAAGCAGTCAAAACTATGATCCGCCCCAAGTGCAAGCTCTGCATGCGACACCATGACTTCCGACTCCTGCCCACCACCACAAGTTGAGCACAAAGCAAGATTGGTTGCTCCAAAGCGATCCTCCTTCGGTACCACAACTGTTACGGTAAAAATTTGGCCATGACCGAAACTATTTCCTGATTTTGTTTTTTTTCTAGTTTTTTTTTCCGATGTGTTGTCGAGGCCAATGAGCAACAGTAGACATACTCCAGTCTGAATGCCTGCGTCAGTAAACAATTTTTGCATTGCCTTGATTGCAGCTTTACGTTCATACGGCCAAAATTCCGCTTTGTTTTTCACGCTCACCAACATGGGACAGTAATGCAGCGTCCCATTCACAGTGTATTGCACTGGTACCATTATGTCGTACGCTGCACATGCAAAATACATGTACGATCCTCTTCCACCAAGGTACCAATGCTTGAGAAGCCCACTATCCTGCATTTCTTTCAAACTATAGCGTAGGTAGTTCTGACAAACTTGGATGAAGTTGACACTTGCCTTTGCTTCCCCAAGGTTGAGGGTAGTGTTCAAATCAGCATGTTGCAATCTTGCAATCCATTTCTCTAATGGAACAGAAAGCTGAGTGAGATCTGTCGATTGCTCAAACCTCAACTCATCTCCGCAAGCCAGCATATAAAAGGCAGCTGCAACCTCGCCAACATCTCCCTTTGCAGGACGACACAATGCAGAGGAGAATATTTTGATGGCCTTCTCCGACCAAACCGAAGCAGGTTCACTGCACTCTGTGGGAATCCCATCATCAATCCCAAATCGATTACAGCCCTCAATCATCTGGGTCATTGCAAGCCATGCGCAAACCGGATCAGGAAGAAATGCAATCCCGGCTACTGCGGTTTGGTCTGGCGAAAAGTGAGTCAGATGTGCGTATCCGGAAGCCACTAGTTCTGATGCAAAATCAAACGACACTTGACCCATTTGCAGTCGCGTTGCCAAAAGCGAATAATACTTCTGCAGTGACAGCTCCTGGTCCGCACCCCTCATTCGCAGCAAGATATTGCCAAGTGAAGTCTTCAACTGTCCTTTCAGATACAATCGTCCGAATAAGGGCCGTCCATATTGGATGGCAACATCAAGTTCTGTAATTGTCTCCTCGTTTCTTTTTTGCAAAGGGGTTTTATGAGTACCACCTACTGTTCCAAATTTGTATCCATCAGTGCGTGACACAAGACCTGTCGTCGTAAGTTGATAAAAGGGAGGATACAGCTTATCACCACCAAGGTACACGAC